GTGATCGAATCTTTTATACCCATCACAGTTATCATAAATAAGTAAGAAGACGAGTGTTCTCAATTAGACGTGTCTTGCGATCGACTTGGCCCATTTCCAATCCACATGTGAACATTCCAATGTTTTTGCCAAATCGCTAGCTTAACTATTGCGGCCAGGAGAATATTTACAACAGAACTTAAGCAAAGACGGACAGACGGACCTACTTAAAACGATTCAGAATTTGATGCTTTGAAATTTTCTCGTGAGTGTTGCAAACCTTTTGACGAGATGAATATACCGCTCATCTTTCGTCGGTGACGACGATAACATTGAAACTTTCTAAATTATCATTAAACTTAGATGAAGCAACGATGACTGCATCTACTAATCGGATAAGAATATATGAATAATCTTTATATAATTTTGCTTAATCTACGTATGTAAATTAAAAATTTTGCATCACTGCTTTTAATTAAATTCGATGTTGTAAAATTCTAAAAAAATTTGAAGCGAATCTAATGCGATTAGTCATATGTCGGTTGACTGTTCATACGACTAATTTAATTTCAGCAATGATTTCAATAAAGTTGCAAAAGATAATATTGAAATTTTCCAAAATCATGGATAAACTTTAACTATATCTTAGATTCAATCAATTAATTTCAAATATTTGCTATAGAATATTATAGAAATATAAGTATATATGTGTGTGTGTGTGTGTTGTGTGCGTGCATGCGTGCGTGCGTGCGTGTGTGGACAGCATCAATGCTCCCTTTAGAAATTGTCATTTTTAATTCCTCCCATGACCACTTCAACGTGCGTCAATTATTCACCAGAAATATCAAACCATAATAATAATAATAATAATAACAACGTTCTCCTCCTTTATATTTTCATAAAAGATTTTCTTTCATACTTTTCCATATCTATATATACATACTCGTTAAGAGATATTGGTTTTTCAATCTTATATATTATTACGTCACACAAATACTTAAGATTTATTTGTCAAGTTTTTGATAATTTATTGTTGTAATAATTTTTATTTTCCTTTTTCTTCAACTTATTTCTAAACCTTTTGTAACGATTTTCTTAAAAATATTTTGTTTTGTTATGATTTAATGACAGATTGGTATTTAGAGTAAGAGATATGCGGATAGTCGTCGCTGAAATATTTAAACGAAAGGTTAATAAACAAACAAAAAAAAATACAGAAAAAGAAAAAGAAAGAAAATTGAATGGAAGTTTCTAAGGCTTTACTACTATGCATATATACATTATTTCATATCGAGAGTGTTGGGATTAAGTTTATCGAACAAAATTAAATCAAAGTTAATCAATTTTTGGAAGCTTTGCAAAGATTGAACGACTTTGCCAATGGATTGGATGGAAAGAAAAGATTAAAATCGGAGGGCATTTTTTCATTTTTTTTATTTATTCATATTGTTCTTCAGCAACAATCAAAGATGAATTGTCAAATTCATATTGATATGTTTACAATGGATAAAATAGCAAAAAAAAACCGATTCCATGATATCCGACAGAGGTAGGTAGAGAGCAAGAAAAAGAGAGAGGGAGAGAGAAAGAGAGAGAGGGGAAGAATGATTTCCTTTTTTTATTCAAAAAAACGCACACACAAATGATTAACTTTAATTATCGTGTTGATCTTAAGGGCTAACCAACACATGGGAAAAGATATATGACCGTACAAATAATGAATGAAGAGCAACACAAAAAAAAAAAAAAAAAAAAAAATAGAGAAAAAAGAATTGAACTAAAGACGAAGCCTTCAAAAATACAACAACAGTTTAATAGAAATCAATACCGGAAAACTATTTAATAAACGGAAAACGGACAAAGGAAAAAACCAGACGTTGAACTTCATTATTATTTAATCAACTCTCACGCAATGCAAGTTTTTTTTTGCGTAAACTCAATTTTACGCATAAAAAAGAAAAAAAAATTTTCCATTTTAGCGTTGAAGTGACCGAGGGTTTTTGTACCAACGCAGACACATATATATATATATATATGTGTGTATGACTAAAGACTTTATTGATTACCGATTTACTTATAGAAAATACATACATGCACACATGCACACACATACGCATACACAAGCGCATACTTTGCCCCTGTATTTAGAGATTTTTTTTCTAAACGACGCAAACTAGCACGTTCCTCACACACACGCTCACTGTTACCCTTATTGCTACGTGCTTGCATAAATGGAAACTCTAGCCGAAGCAACAACCAGAAAAGAAGTACAA